TACATTGGTAAATTTTGATGAACCTAACAACTACAAGGAAGCCATGGCAGGCCCTGAGTCTGCAAAATGGATAGAGGCTATGGATAGCGAGATTCAATCCATGTATGAAAATCAAGTTTGGAACTTGGTTGACAATGTACCAGGTCGTAAGATAGTTGGGTGCAAATGGATCCTCAAGAAGAAGACCGACATGGATGGGGAAGTACACACATATAAGGCACGATTGGTTGCAAAGGGCTTTACTCAAACTCATAGAGTTGACTATGATGAGACCTTCTCACTAGTAGAGAAGATTAAATCTATAAGGGTTATGCTTCCCATAGCTGCATTTCATGATTATGAAATATGGCAAATGGATGTCAAAACTGCTTTCCTTAATGGGAAGTTGGATGAAGATGTTTACATGAGTCAGCCAGAGGGTTTTGTCAGTGAAAAGTACCCTAATAGAGTGTGTAAGATTGAGAAATCCATTTATGGATTAAAACAAGCATCTCGCAGATGGAATCTTTGTTTCGATGAAAAAGTCAAAGAGTTTGGATTTTCGAGAAAGGAGGATGAGTCATGTGTAATGTCAAAGCTAGTGGGAGTGTAGTTAACTTTCTGGTGTTGTATGTGGATGACATACTTCTCATAGGAAATGGCATTCCAACGATGTAGGAGGTTAAGTCGTGGCTTGGGAAGTGTTTCGCTATGAAGGACCTTGGGGAAGCTGCCTATATTCTAGGGATAAGGATATTGAGAAACCGGAGTAAAAGACTAATAGGACTTAGTCAAAGTACCTACTTGGACAAGGTGTTGAAGCGTTTCAACATGGAGAATTCCAAGAAAGGTGACTTACCTATCTAAAGAAATACCAAGCTGAGTAAGACTCAGAGTCTGAATACAGAGGCTGAGATAGAAGAGATGAGTCGAGTACCATATGCATACGCAGTTGGTTCGATCATGTATGTTATGACTTGTACTCGCCTTGATGTGGCCTTTGCTTTGAGCATGGTCAACATATATCAAGGGAATCCTGGTAAAGCTCATTGGACTACGGTAAAGAACATTCTTAAGTACCTGCAGAGGACTAAGGACTGGGTCCTTACCCTCGGTGGGAGTGATGACTTAAGAGTGACATGGTATAGTGACGCTAGCTTTCAGACCGACAGAGATAATTTCCACTCTTAGTCGGGCTGGGTATTTACCCTGAATAGAGGAGCAATAACTTGGAAAGGTTCCAAACAGGAGACTGTAGCTGACTCAATGTGCGAATCAGAGTACATAGCAGCAAGTGAAGTGTCGAAGGAGGCGATATGGCTGAAGAACTTCATCAGAGACCTTGGAGTCGTACCAACTATAAAGGGGCCTATGGTGATTTTCTATGACAGCGAGAGTGCGGTCGCCTTATCCAAGGAACCGAGGGATCATAGCAGATACAGACACATCGACAGAAAATATCACTTCATAAGACATCAGATAGAAGAACCACTCCTCATAGCAAAGAGGGTATCGTCAAAGGAGAACCAAGTATATCCCCTTATGAAGGGACTGAGTAGGGTTAAGCACTTGCAGCATGCGAGAAGCGTAAGGCTGAAGGATGATATTATTTTTAATGATTAAATAAAAGGAGTTTTATTTATGAGTAAAGTTACTATCTTCTGTCAATTGTTTACTATTGTTTCATTTTGCATGTTTTGACTTCCAGAATAATAAGATTATTCAAATTATCCATATTCGATCATACTTTGGAAGTAGTTATTGAGGCAAGACTGTCATGAATTTGTCTTGTAGATTGTCTATAGTGTTTAAACATGGCGAAAGCTTGCTACAACATTCATGAGTGCTCATAAGGTCTGATTATTGGATTAAACCCACACTCACATGAATCGCTTTATGGAATTTATCACGAGTGATTGTGAGATGATAATATCATATAGTCTTCAAACCAAGATGTATGAGTTGTTGACTATGAGTTGGTTGTACATTGATAATGCGGAAACGCATCAGTAACTTGATGTTATAAAACGTGCTACTGTGTATGATTTAATGAGTAGTTAGTACAAGCATATAAGTCGAAGTTTATATGTTACTTTTATCCTTAGAGGATTAAAAGCGATATATTGGGCCCCTCGATGATTTTGTTTTAACATATGTGTCGGGCCCGGTCAGGACTCAATTGATGTGTTCAATTAAGTTCTATGTCAAACAAATCGGAAATCGGGAAACAAAACTGTTGGACAATAAGTATGACTATGTTCCATGTATTTTTCCGCATGATATCTTGAAGAACAGAGGATTATATGATCCCTTATCTAAAATGGCACGTCAGAGTTCGACAGCGGGTTTTAAGAGCTACGATTGCTAGTCGGGTTTTAAGTTGTACTTGAAGTTATAGTTATTAGACTTATCCAAGTGGGAGATTGTTGGATTAGGTGTCTAAGCCCATAACTATAATTGGTATGTACTTGACTAGAGAGTAGCATGGTCCATTTTGGGTTGCATTCACCAGAACAATCTGATAGGATGGATATTTGAGAAATAGGTTATTTATGGTTTATTGATATATTATAATTATAATATATTAATTGAGGAATCATATTATTTAATTAGTATTGATCAAGAATTAATTTGGAATTAATTTAGTGATAAAAATAGACTAATTAAATATACAGAGGCTGATTATGTAAATCAATAATACATATAGGTTGGGTTAATAATCCATGATTGATTAGTGATGGGCTAAGCTTATGTAAGGATCCATAAAGTGTTAGTCCATTACAAGCCTAAGTTTAAGAATTATGGTTTACACATAACCCTTGGAAAACTAGCCCCTCTCAGCCATATTTTTTTTTAATTAAAACTCATTTATTTTTTTTTAACACCAATTTTTTTTTTCAGCCAATTTTTTTTATTAGCCAATTTTATTGTTGAAACACAACAAATACCTTAGCCTTTTAATTTTTTTTATTAAAACCAATTTATTTCTTTATTTTTATTAAAACCAATTATTTTATTTTAACACAAATTTTTGCCACAACCCAACCTATGATAGTCACATTGGATTACTTCATGTTAATTATATTGGAATAATTATTATTATTCATTCCATGAGGATTAGTCCATACCGCAGTCGAACATCATATTTTTCTTCGCGAATATTGTACCGTAGTTGCGTCTGATCAACAAAATTATTTCGCAACCTTCGCTCTACGGGATTTTTATGACTTGTCGCTCATTATCTTTGTTTGACGAACCATGTATCTTGAGCATGTGGACTTTATTTTTCGAAGACCACTTCAGGAGTTCCGGAACCTCAATTTAGGTACATCCGTATTTATCAGCACAATAGAGATTTTTCATGCAGAGTTATTATTTGTTACATTGGTATCTGTTCGAGCAGTTTTCAATGACAAAATCAACCGGATATAGATGACCGAAGAGTATTTATTTTTACTTTCATTATCGTGTTTTATCGAGACCCTTCATACATCTAGGGAGAGCATACAAAGCTCCTGGTATCCGACACTCTCCATTCAGATGATTTGTTGATTTTTGGTATCTGTTCATTGGTTATCAAAAATAGGGAGAGAAGATTATGTTATCATCAGGATATGTTTCTATGATTGTTTGAGTTTCGATTTTTGAAGACCTCTGAAGACGATGATTTATTTTGTGATGTGATGTGGCGTTGATTTTTGATCATCATGATTAAAATTTTTTGGCTTCACTAGATGTTTCCCGGATCCGAATTATTTATTATTCAGACTCTACCACAGGATGATTCATATTTTTAGCATGTTATTTTTTTGATGATTTTTGGGTGTTTTATGATTCGAGAACTAGAGATGTTTCAGAATTTTTGATGTCAAAGTGTGATTTGATTAGGGGACATACAATTCAAAAGTTATTGGTACACTTTTGAAGATGATCAACTTTGTTCACTGATCACATCTGTGGATTGGAATCTCACTCTTTAGCACCGAAGATGCTCAAGCCTCGGTACTTAGAAGACTTTGACTAGACCACAGAGATTTCATCGCCTGAATTCACAAATCTTAGATACTTCAGAGTTTCAGAGACATTTTAGCATTTGGTTCTCATTATGTTTAATTTTTTATTGCCACACTTGTTAGTCGGTTACTGTATTTTAGCCTTTTATCACTTCATTTGTATCCCTCCTCATATGCAAGCATTTAGGGAGAGAATGTTGGAGTATGGAAATGATCTACAAATTATGAGTGATAGTTAAGTTATTTTATTCCCTTTATTGTATTGTTTAGTTTCTCTCTCCCTATAAATAGAGAGATGGTCATGTATTATTGTAAGAGTGTGCACTATGTAGTCTTCTAGAGAGAGAGAGGATGGGGTCTCTCCTCATCCAGATAGAACTTTATTGTCATATTTTATCTCTTTCTCTTCTAGTAAAATTATCATACTCATATTTGTTTTCTTCATATTATTATGATTGTTAAATCTCAAGATGTTCTTATTTCGCACAAGTCGATCGTCAAAATGGGCAACATTAGAAAGAGATCCATCAAAAACGATTCCGTGAACATGGTCAAGCAAGAGGTGATCATCAAGCTTCGTCATTCAACCTTGAATATTGTGGATGTTCCGAACCACAAATTTGATGAGATGCTTATCATTCTTGTTGAAATCTTTTCCCACCTCAAAGCTCAAGCTCCTATAACCGAGGCATATGACGCACTCTCCAAGCAGCTCAATACAAGTTTTCAACGAGTTTTTAAAAGATTGGAGGAAATCAAGTATAAGTCTTTACTTACATCGGAGGTAGGCCCTTCCCATGCAAGAGGGGGAGAAAGAAGAACAATTCAATAGAAACCCATCTCAGAGTATGTGCTCCGAGATGAATCTACTAATGAAGTAGTTGTGGAAATGGAAGTTTTGGAAACTAAAGAGGTTGAAGATGCTGAAGATTTTTGCTGAAAATCTGATCTAAGAACTTCAGTCATCAGGGAACAACTTGTCAAAGTCCTTTCAGAAGCACAAAAAATATGAAATGGTCCTCGGTTTCTTGGCCATCATCTTTATTAGAAGTGTTCAAACTGAGCCAATACATGACGAAGCCAAAAACAAAGCTGACATTTGATGCTTTCCGAGCGACCCAGTCCATGCTTCCTCCAATTCTTGCTCCGAGGATCGCTCAAATGGATGAAGGTTCTCCTACCCAGAAACCTGATGAAATCCCTGAAGAGCCTCTGATTGTTCCTCCATCTGCACTATTCATATCAGAATCTTGTCGTCAAATCATCTCTTCCATTTCTGAAAAAGGTGACAAATTCAAAGACAAAGTCAAAAAGATAGACACAAGTTCGGACAACCAAATGAATTCGTTTAGAAACTTCGAGGGCCAGTCCCAAGAACAAATTGACCAAGATTTGGAAGAAAGCCTCCAGATTCAAGCTCTCAAAGACAACCCAAATCCGATGTTGGAAATTTAACCTCTCTTCCGATAAGGAATCATTAATGATATATATTGCGTTCCCTTCATGTATTTTGATCTTCCAACTCAATATGCTGATCAACTGGACTTGCCAATCTCTCCATATGGACGCTTCTACATCAAGTTCTCACCTCTGCATCAAAATGATGACCCGCAAACTATCATCTGACCTAAGTGTGATAAATTGAGCACCTTTTATTCTACCAACGTACGACCCCCAAAAGGAAGTGTGGTCTTGAAAAAGAATCATAAACATAGTTGGTCATGGTAGAAAAGTCCAGAGCAAGTTTGATCTTTATTTTCTCCTATACATATACTATATTTCTCGGAACAAAGAATCTACCATCACAATCACAGATCTATACTTTCTTTCGATAATATCATTGGCAAAGTCTTGGTGACTTTTGTGCGATAAGATTACAAAAGGATCATTGCATAAAATGTTAGAATCTAACACATTCTAATAGTGGGAAGAATTTGGTATTCTTACACTAATGATAAGGATTAGGATTTGTGAAATGAGTATCATTGGAAATGTGTTCAAATGATCTATTTAACAAAGTATGGACCATATGTAAACATAATGTGCATGCTTCGAGCATGGGACAACTGTTGTTATAATTCAAGTAATAAGTTGATTACCCGAAACATATACAATGAATAATGTGTAATCAATATGGTGACTAAATAAAAGGAGTTTTATTTATACTCAAAAGTATGGGCCCATATTGAATTCGATTATTCTTGTGTTTCACTTTGCATGTTTTGACTTCCCGAATAATAAGATTATTCGAACGTTCCACAGTCACTCATACTTTGGAAGTAGGTATGAAAGAAGATTGTCATGAATTGGTTTGTAGATTGTCTAAAGTGTATTAGACATAGCAAAAGTTTGTTGCAACGTTCATGAGTGCTTATGAATAAGATTTGAGCATTGGATTAAACTCACACTCACTTGAATCACTTCATGGATTTTATCACAGGTGATTAGTGAGACGATAATATCTTATATTCTTGAAACCGAAATGTGTGAATTGTATTCTGCAAGTCGGTTGCACATTGATAATATGTAAACGCACCAGTAACTTGGTGTTATAAAACATATTGTTGTGTGTGATTTGATGAGTAGGTACAAGCGAGCATTGAGTCAAAGTTTATCCGTTCCTTTTACTCAAAGTGGGATAAAAGCGATATCTGTGGGCCATCGATGATTTAGTGATGACACCCTAAGCGCTTGGCCAAGCGAAGACTAAGTTGATGTGTTTAATTGTAGTTTGTTGTCAGTCGTCATAAATCGGAAATCAGGAAACAACACATAGACTGAGAGAATGATTATAGTCCGTGTCTCATGTCTGTACGATATCTAGAATGGAGGAATATATGATCCCTTATCTAAAGAACATATTACTGATAAGATCAGAGTTCGACAGAGTCTTTGAGACTACAATTGCTAATCCGAGTGTATTTACACTATAGTTACTAGACTTATCCAAGTGGGAGACTTTTGGATTGGTGTCTAAGCCTGTAACTATATTTGGTATATACTTGACCCGGTTGTGCATGGTCCTTTTGGGTTGCCTTCACAAAAGCAACTTGATAGGATGATTCAAGGAGAAAGAGAGGTTATTATGGTTTATTAATATATTATATGAATAATATATTAAAGGAGAAATCATATTGTTTAATCAATATTAGTCAAGAATTAATAGGAATTGATTTTGTGGCTAAAAAACATTAATTAAATAAAGGGGACTAGAACTGTCAATTGTGTGATAGTTGAATATTGGGCTAATGGACTCCATAGAAGTTGGAGTGGACGAAATCTATGGGGAAACCCATAAGAATTTGTCCAAGGCTTCTAAGGAGGAAGTCCATGGGCTGCTTAGGGCCTAAGCAGTCAGATTAGGGTTTCCTGGTTGAAAACCCTAATAGCCTAAGTATAAAAGGAACCATTGGCAAGTCAAAAACGTCCCTAACCTTCTAAGAGAAACCCTAGGACATTTTTGGTGCCTCCTCCCCTCTCTCTCCCTCTCTCTCTCTCTCTCTCTCTCTCTCTCTCTCTCTCTCTCTTTCCAAGTTCATCCTCTTGCTTGTGGTGTTTATAAGCCATTAGAGGAGTGACATTTGTGACTCTAAGCTCTAAGACAAGAAGATTCAAGCCATTCTTGAAGAGGTAATCATCTAGATCTGTTTTCATATAGTAATTTCGAAATATGTATGCTAGATCTAGGGTTCATAAGTCTTGGATGAATTGCATGTACAATAGAGAAACCTAGATCCAAGCTTTAGGGCTTGCATGAGCACATAGGATGTTCTTTTGCATAAAACCCATCAGTTGGTACTTAGATAAGTACGTGAAGTGTGTCTCACAAATGCTATATTCACGGTTACGTGTAGAATAATTAAAAGTTACCCTGTAACGGATAAACTGTAAGTATATCTCATAAACTATATTTATTATAGTTTATATGTTTGTTTTCCATAATGTTTTCTGAGTATGTAAAGTAGTGCATATGATCCAACAAATATACATATCATAGTTTATATGTGTTGGTTTTCCGTATTGTATTCTGAACTTTGAAAAGCAATATGTAAGTTCCATAAACTATACCTATTACAGATTAGATGATTATGTTTTACTGAAACAAAAAACCTTTGTATTGTTAATAATTCGGCAAGTTTAAATTATAAAATCTGTGATACAGTTGTTTCATGAAATTCAACATTTATATCCAAATGGTACTAAAATAGTTTGCAAAAATTATATTTTTGTTTAACAAGTTTTAAATCATTTTATACTTATATAAATATAATATTTATATAATTATGATTAAATAGACAGTCGAATAAATAGTTCTACCCCAATCCCACAACCAAACAAGGAACATGAAATGGAGTCAAATTATCAATTCTAAGCCTGTTGAACCTTAATTATATTATTTATACATATATAAATATATATTTTTAATAACGGAAACGATTGATAGATATTGAAAACATTTAGATATTAACACAATTTTCTTGTGTTACACTTGTATTCCCCCCCTAAATTAGTGAAAAATCATGAAAACGTAGGGGTATGAACACACATTATGTGTGATGACGGTTTTTATAACGGAATAGATACGGTGAACTTCGATTTAGAACACGTGACGATAGTCGTATCCTAATGATTTTAAACATATAATCATGTGTGATTAAGATGATACAAGTAATATATGTGTTGTATAATACAAGTTATATGAATAAAACTTACCAAAACTTAGGAGTGGTATGAAGATATTTGTGAAGAACTTGAAGTGAAAGCAAAAGAAGGTTGATAATTTGAGAGAAAACGTGAAGGATTTTGTTTACTGTGAATGTTGTATGAGAAGATATTTTCGAAATGTATATTTTATATGAAGTAAAATATAAGGCGGTTTAAAGAATAATATCTAGACATTATGGATTTTCGGCCTAGAACTCATCCCAAGGAAAGGAGTCTTCGGTCAACAAAGTGATTTCGGTCCAGCTGATTTCGCAATGGATCGAAAACTTATTTCGGTCTGAATATAAGTCGGCTTCGCACGTTTTTGGTGAGGAACAAAGAGGTTTTTGGTTAGGTTGTTTTCGGTCCGAGGAGGGTACGGTCTGCGAGGGTTTTTGGGAATAAATTCTCAATTTTTGCAACACTTTAATAAAAAGGAATTTCCATATATTAAATTATTAATTTAGCCTTAATAAATTTCAAATCAACAAATTTAACTTTTATTTAGCAACTTTTACTTTTATTGACCTTTGTTGACTTTTGTTGACTTTTACAGATTTAAAAATAAAGGGTTGTTACACACGAAAAGACTAGCCTATGGATGCGTGCAAATAGCTACACCTAATTTTATATTTAGAACCTAACTAACTTAACTAACTAAATTGCACCTAGGCAGTGTACCTAGTCAGATTATAGAATAGTCGGGTAAGTCGGGTGTCGATCACAGGGAACGGTTTTGACTAATTAATCTATCTACTACTAAATTAACCTAATTATTAACAACGAATTGGAATTTATCTAATTTTGCAAGCTTAGATGAACTTAACTCTCTTAACATGAAATTCGATCAATTACTAAAAATACTCCCGTTTAGTTCGAATCCACTTCTTCTTTCTGGTTAGCTAACAATTATAGATTATCAAAGTTGGTTATCTAATTTATATTATATTAGTAATTTAGGTCTAAATTTACCAATAATTAACTCATTCATGTAAAACTATGCATGGTCACACACAACAATACACATAATTAGTTATGATTATGAATAAGCTATGTAAGATTTATTAGGCAAACATAATTATGGTCATAACATATGCTCTCTAACATAGCTAAATTTAATTACTTCAATTACTTTCCTAAGACTTGGTCGATCCTAGCTCTAGCAATTTAATGTTCACTAAATCACTAGGTTTCAAGTTCATGTAATTTAATTATCACTAGGCTACATAGAACATGAATTCAAATAACTAAAGAATCAAATATTAACATGTTATGTGTTAACAATCAAACACAAGCTCAATTCCAACTAATCAAATCCATAATAAATTAGCTAAACCATTAGTCAAAGTTTGATCTAGCTAAACAGGAGTTACTAAATTCAGCTACTCATACTCAAAATAAAACTAAAACAAATCAAAGTAATAGACATGATCAAGGTACCAAATGATTGAACTATCTATGAACTCTCTTCTCCTTGGATGCTAATAGCTAATTCCAGAACTTTTCTTCTTCTCAAAATCGTCTCCAGGAACCCTCCAAGGTAGCCAAAAGTCTGCCAAGTCGTAATGGACAAAGATATATATATTTTCCGATTTTTCCAAGTTCACGTCATGAGCAGATAAGCCTCACGTCGTGAGTACGAGATAAAACGTGTTCGACAAGGACTCTTTCATCCGGTGCATATCTTCTAGAATACTCCACTCACGTCGTGAGTCTTCAATTACTCATGTCGTGAGTACGTGCTTTGCTGA